CCTGGGCCATTCTTCTTTTCAGTCCACTCTTAGGCGTTTCCAAAGTTTGCCCAAATGTTCATCTTTTTTTTCCCCGAAGTATGACACTTTTGGGAAGGGGTTGTTAATTTGTCTGCAGCAAATGTGAATTTAAGCCAATGAGAATCTAAGGCTGCCTTTGTAATGTTTCAGGCATCTAATGTAGAAATCTGCAGGGAATATCTCTGAGATCCAACTTAAATGAGAAAATAAATTGATGGTCAAATTGCATGTGGGTCATATCTCCACTTATGGGAACTCAGATCTGCTTTTAGTTACCTAAGTAACAAAAAATGCATTCACAATCAAGTTTGGATTGCTTCTTGCAGAGTGTTCTCTAGAAATTGAATTCCAAATTACAAAGTGCATTCTGAAACCTGTCTCTGCCTCTTATTCCGTGCTTCTTGCTTTATGTCTACCTCAGACATACAGATGATAAACACACCTATTACCCAAAATGCATCTGTTTTATTCCAGCAGTAAAGCAGGTAAATTAAATCTGTAGCTCTACCTTCAGAGATTCTGGCTAGCAGCCAGATCAGTTCAGCATCTTTCTCTGTTTCCAGGCATTGTGAACAAATTTGCAGGCTTTTAGGGGCTCACTGCGACAAGACAGCAGTGACACACTGAATAGCATCAGAAAGATTAGCTTATGCAACCACGGTGGACAGGAGGAGAATTGAAATGAAAGCTCAACATTATTATCTGAAATCTCTTTCTTTAGGAACTGAGATGAAACTAACTACTACGTTTTTTTGGTAGGATATCTAAGGTTGTTATAGACATGACATCAACCGTGCTTTCAAATAATGAATGGGAGTGTGAGGTACTGTTAATGCAATGAACTAAAGACAGTATAATGTATTATTCCCTCTCTTTGTTGATCATTAGAAAGGTCTGGAGATTCTCTCTTCACATTTCTTTTTTATTCTTTGTGCTTCCAACACTGTCTGCAAAATGTAGTATTCCGTATATTATACATTTGGTTTAGGTGCTGACATCTATTACCAATGGGTCTCCATCAGTAGGTTGAACTTATTTATTACTAAACTTATGATACTTGAAATCTAAGCCAGTAATAATTGCTTTCCATTGAAAAAAACACATCTCTTTTAGGGGGCAGCGGGCTGCCATTGTGTGGCACCTGGGGAACAGTGTGGAGATAAGGATTTTGCTCAGATACCCAGAGTGGAGATTGTAGGGTTTGTACCGGGTACTTGCGACCTTCTCCTCTGCAACAACAAAGGGATTTGCCAATTGTTGTGGTAGAAACCGCTGTTAAATGTGCAGGATGATAATGTGTCTTTTTTCCGTTTTATGCATTAAACACTAAAGGTGTGTTTGCAAGAAAATATGTGTGAGCATTAGGGTTTGACATTGATTTAATGAGATACAAACTTTTAGAGGAGCTAAAACATAGCCAATACTAAGAAACTATACAATAAACTTTTTATACCTTTACTATATGCATGGCAGACATGTTGGATTTTTGCAAAACTTAGCTTTCCCAATTAAACTGACAACCTTAGGAGTGACTTCTAACTTAGAAAAATTTTACTTATCCGTAAATAACAAAAATAGCTCATTTAGAATTATTGTGAATGTAAGAGACTTGCAAAAATAAACCCCAAACATCACAGAAAAAAAAAACCTTTTGTTACTGGTGGTATTTTAAAAGTGTGCAGTGGGTCTCTGCCTTTTTTCCTTGTAGGGTTCGGGAGACAGGCCCTCTGCAGGTGTTATGTTTTGCTCTGATTGGTGCTCTGCTGCTTTAAAGCTGCTATGTATTCAGCAAAACGGTTGCTTTTTCCTCTCCCTCCTCAGAACCCCGTTTGGTTTGTATTATGGTTGGAGTTTGTTAGGTTTGTTTTGCATTTGCTTAATTCTGGTTAGCTATGGTTTTTGCATTATTCTGTTTTGGTTTCTTACTTCCGATATTCTCTTTCCAGGTTTTATTTCTATAATATAATTTAATAAATTCAGTTGTCATCTATAAGAAAATCACATGTGGTTGCCTTTAATGTTACCCCACCAAGCAAGCCTGGTGGACGTAACAAAAATGATAACCTCTTTTTTAAGCACCATTTGAAATTATCCTTAACTGTCTATATCTGCCAATAGGATGTCAAAATTTCACAACCTACATCTTAAGAAAGACTACTTATTTGAAGGTTGGGCAGCAGACAAGTCATTAGCGACTTGTATAAGGAGGATGAGCTACAGTACAAACGTCAGCACAGGAGAATAGTGTTCTTAAGAGTGCTGTCTCCAGCTGAGTGTAAGGAGAAGTTGTAACAGACATGTAATTATGCAAGTGTAGCGAATATGTGGGGTATGTCAAGAGAAAGATATGAGCTAAATATGCAGAGGGGCTGATTGTTGCTATCTGGACATCTCAGCAGAGCCACAGGCTGGTTGGGAAAATAAAATAAATGACCCCTCACACCCCCACCATGGACTGTTCTCCCTGCTGCCTTCGGGGAAGAGACTTCGAATCATTGGATGCAGGTCCTGCTGATTCCACTACAGTTTCTTCCCCACTGCCATTAGACTGCTGAATGTTTTGTAGAATGGGTTATTGTATTATATTGTATTTTATTATGTTTTATCATTATATATATGTATATAAAACGTTAGAACTGTAAATTTACAGTCTTTTGACTATTTTTCAAGGCTGCACTTTTAAAAAAGATTAAATTGTCCAGAGAGCTTTTCCAAACGAAATTTCTTTTTGTTTTACACTTGTGTAAACAAAATAACAAATAAAATCTAAGTCTAAGTTGGGAGCCTGCCTTACTGCATTGAGGCAGTGATGAGCCTCTTCTATGAACTAAGCATAAATATTGTATATTACTTTGACATACATTTCTATATCAAAAATATCTGATACAGTAGAAGTTTGCAATTATATGAGATACTGGATTTTAGGTTTTCCCTTTAGGTTACTCCACAGTGGAGTGTTTTAGTCTCGCATTAAACACTTTTACTGTTTGGCCTTTAACACTGCAAGATTGTGTGGTCCTCTGTATCATTTTATTTATTTACTCATTCTAAACTATTTCTGCTTTCTTGTGTGTGTTGGGATTTTTGTTTGTTTCTATGTACAGCACATTGGAATAATGTTTTTTTGTTAAATGTGCTGTATAAAAAAAATGGATTGGATCAGATTAAAGCTATAATCATCAAAGCCGAAACAAAAGCTTAAAATGGATCACTGTGTGAAATAAATCCGTATAAGAAATGTAACTTTTTTATTTAGAAATTTGAAATAACCCATTTTTCAGAAGTCTTTATATCAGTTATAGGTCTCTCTCAGTTTTAGCTAATAAAAAACGTTAAAATTGGAATATTGCACCAAACCAATAAAAAAAAACATTAAAACTGCAGAAAATTTGCTTTAATAAATGTTTGTTTAACACCGGCTTAAAAGTAGAATTTTTTTTAAAATGAAGTTCAAATTTGAGAAACAAGCATTAGCAGAAAATATATTCTAAATCATTGAATACGATTTGTATTTGTGTGCACATTTTTTGGCAGCAAGGGTAACCTTTCAGAAGACGGAAATTCAAAAGTCTGTGGAGCTTTCAGTCTTAAGATTCTCTTTTGTTTTTATCAGTCTGTGTTTGCGAGATGTAAGTAACCATTCCTGATGCAAATAACTGCTCGATCCTCATGGACAATCTTGCTTGCAGAGTTATACATTATAAAAATGCCAAGCCTTTAGCCTGCTTTGCAACCGTCTCTGTGTTGTGCTAAGCAGCTTTCATTGTCATTGCAGCGATCTCGTTGCATATCCACATCGCTGTCAGAGTCATGTTACTTCTTTGTAAAGCCATCAGGATTTGTCTCTGTCAGTTGCCTGTCCCTCAGTCCATTAAAGTTGATTGATAGAAGTAGAAAATGTTCCGCCCAGCTGTTGTCGTTGACTCATCCCAGAGAAGTTGAAAGGAGCTCTGAAGTGGACCATCCCTCATGAAAAAGAGCTTTTGTCTGTCTTTATAATGTGAACTAAAATGTCTCCCGATTTTATCTAGCTTTTCTCTGTTTTCTTCCCTGGATGTTTACATAAAGGATTATTGTGTTACATATGAAGATACTTATTAGAGTCAACTTTTTTCATAGAACAATTCTGCATTCGCTTACAGCTGAACTGTTTTAGCTTTGGTCGGGGGAAATCCGGAACATTTGATCCCACTAGTGGTCAAATCCGAATGAGAAGCAACAAGAAATCTGTGCTTGTTTTCTTCTTCCTCTTCCTGGCCTTGTTATCTCCTAATAGCTCTTGAGGATTTCTACAGGACAACTTGAGGAGGATTATATGATATTTCAGTGTGATTGATAACATGCTCTTGGAGGGATGTCAGGCTCTCAGAGACAGATAATGTGGATTTCTATCGCTCTGCCTTCTTGTGTAAGATGAGCCATCAATCAAGTGTATCGTGTCCTTAACCTGATAAAATTAAAACCTTTAAGGGGGGTTGGGTGCCTGAGGTCTCCAAAGAACCAGGACACACATCAACACCAGGCATGACAGATCCAGAACATAGATCCAAATCATGCAAGGCTCACAGCAAAGATCAAGGCAGAAAATACAGTTAATGATCTAATGCTATATTGCTGTTGACAGAGGAGAGAGATTGCAGGAAGAACGGTCTCATTTTCACCCTACGCTGAGGGGTTATTAGATCTTGGTCCATCTAATTTAATTTCGAAGGTTGTCAATATTTACCAGCAACAGGCGCAGCTCACCATAGTAGAGCCAGTATCCCCACAGGAAGGAAAACCTGATATAATTGTAACATTTCCAGATATAGTTACTAGATTTCAGCCTTGGAGGTTTTTTTTTTTAGCTTGCAGTTATCTTTGTTCTTAAATGACGAAGCACGTACACCTTTTTATCACAGCATGTCTGAGATATATAAAGCTGCATATTCTTGTGTTTTTTCCTCCGTTAAGCCTTACTCTGCTTTTGTGTGTTACAGTTGACTGCTGCATACACAAAGCGGCAGGGTCCTGTCTGTATGATGAGTGTCACTCACTAAATGGCTGTGACACCGGCAAAGCCAAGATCACCTGTGGCTATGATCTCCCTGCAAAATGTGAGTATCAGTAATTATTTTCTTTTTTTTTTGCTTGAGCCGTGATGTTCACGCTGGTGCCTTTGCAGAAATGTTTCTAATCAAATCTTCCACCTCAGAGGGCTTTATCATCTGATAATTAGAAGACAATAGCTTGTATTGGTAAACAGTGTAATATTAGACTATTCTGTACAACTCACATTTACTCTAAAAGCCTTAATCATGTATGAAAGGATTTTTTTCCCCTTCTTATCATCTTTGCTTGAGCCTGGCGTACGACCTCAAACACTTTTTTCTGTAGGTTCAATTCTCACAAATAGTTTTAAGGAAAGTGCATCCAAAGGATGAAGAAAATTGATGGCATTAATTGTAAAGCACCAAACTCAGGTACCAACATGTACAATAACGCAGTGCACACACATAAAGCAATATGTGATCACAGACAGTCAATAGATTAGGAATTAGTCCATAATATAAAGGTTTTAGTGTCAGATCTGTTCAAATGTTGACTGTAATCCATGCTTTGGAGATCTAACAGTACGGCACCTTACCAAGGAATTTAAAACCATTTTCTGGCAACACTTGTCCCCCAGTAACTCTATACAGATAACCACATTTCTGACAGCATTCTGAAGGAGTATTTTCTGCTTCAGCTCCAAAGCAGCATTTAAACTGGGATGCACACAGGTTACAGTTATTCTTCTCTGCAAACAACCTTAACCAGTAAATGGATGCAGATAAAATACTTAATTTTCCACTCAAAATGGGTTTGTATTTTACTTGAGTTGGTCTCAGAGGACTGCAGATATACAGCAAT